GTACTGAATGCTGTGTGCCCGTGGGCACGGCACTTCACCTCTCTGAGCCTCAGTTCAGGTCGTCATCTGTAAAGAGCAGATGAAGGACTGTTGTGAAAGGGGGGAAGCATGGAACAATACCCACAGAACCCTTAGCTCAGGGCCTGGCACGGGTGAGCAATGAGCAGCGGTATTTGTCATTTCTGTGGCCCTTCTGGGAGGTAGTTCTGCTGCCAGCACAGAGCAGAGGCGGCCAGATGTGAACCTGCACGAAGATCCCCTGGTCCACTGGCCAAAACAAGCCTCAGTCACAGAGGCCTGGGGAAGGCTCTCCAGGACCCTAGAGCCACACATGGGGTTGGGCCGGTTCTGCAGGCGGAGGCCCTAGGGGTCCACGAGCAGTTCCAGAAAACGCCCTGGGCTCTGTTTGGTCCTTGTGGCTTGGAAAAAGCTTTTTCTGATCACTCCAGCATGACGCACCCCCAGCCTCCCCCACTCCCTGGCCCTGCCGCTCCCCAGGCTGCACCGGCTTCTCACTGCTAGAGGACTGGGATTGTGTCACGTTTAATCCCATGGCCCAAGGAGGGGTGCAGGGACTGGACAGGTTTGGCTGGGAGAGGGGGCTGCAGAGGCGGCCAGCATCCTCATTCAGTGCCCCTCTGCTTCCCCCGCTCTCGCATCCCCAGCCCTTACTCCAGCTCCCCAGGGTCCCCCATTGCCTCTTATGTGACTGAAGCTCACAGCCAGCTCAGCCTAGTCTTGCAGCCAGCCTGGTTTCCAAGGTCCTGCTGCCCCCTAGAGGCCAGCTCCTGCAGCTTTTGCTGCTGAGCGCTGTCCAAGCCTGGAAGAGTCCGGGAAGTCTCTTTGTAGGACAGGCAGCCCCAGGGGTGAGGAAGGTCAAGAGGCCAGGAATCAGCCCAGCCAGGTGGCAACAGGGTGCAAGTGAAAGGACACACACATCTGCGTGGTTCCGTTCCTCCCCTTGACTTTCCTACCTGTAAAATGGGTCTTTGAGAGAACGCGAGGATCACTTGACCAGGAGATAATTACTACGATGCTATGGCTCAGTTTTATTGAGCGCGAACCAGGCAGTGTGCTTTTACATCCTAGTATGTTATTTCGTTATAGCTTCTCTAAAGACAAACTTCTGGAGGAGGAACCATTCGTAACCCTGTTTTACAAATGAGAAAACTGAGGCACAGAGAGAGTTGGTGATTTGCCCAAAGTTACACATGGTGAAGGGTAGAACCAGGCATCTAACCCAGGCCTATGTGATGCCAGACCCTGTGTCCCTCACCAGCCACAACACCCCGCCTCCCAGTATCATCTCTGCATCTCTCTCCCATCTCTCTCCCCACCCTTCTCTTCCATCCTTCCTTTGTTCTCTCTTACCTTGAGTCGGTTGGCTTTTCAACTCTCCAGGTCCACTGTCCAGCACATTGTCCTGGCACAGAGGAGGCACGCCTCTCCCAGACTGTGAAGTGGGAGCAACAACCCATGGAGGGCTGCTCTGGAGCTGGAGGTGGCCAGGGCTAGAGCCACAACCCTGTCTTACTGTGCCCCAGCCTCTGGATGAGGCAGAAATTAATATTTCAAGTTTATGACCAAGGGAGACTCCTAGAGCATCACCCGCCCAGTAGTAAGAATGGCAACTCTCAATTATCAAGCACCTACTGTCTTCCAGGCATCAGGTAACGTCTTCTCTCCCCAAATCATCAGAAGAGCACTGGGGTAGGTTGTACTGACCCATTTACAGGTCATAAAACCAAGTCACGGAGCCTCGCTCCGGCTCACAGACCTATCAGATGGAAGAATCCCTGCCTGCCCAGTTTGCAAGCCCCTGTGCTGACCACTCTACTCTCTTGCCTCATGGGTCACCTGATCCAACCTGCCCCCCTATGGGAAGCCTGTGTCCTGTCGGGTGAGCGTCACCATGTGCTGTGCTGAGAAGTCCTGTGTGCACCGGTCCGGCTTCCCAGGATGGCTGGGGGTCCTCCTGGGTCTCACCTTAACCCTCCGCAGCTCCTTAGCCACCTATAGCCCTGGGAGACATCGCATGGAGGGTGCCCACCCTGGCAGGGCCCTCAGAGGCATTCAAGGGCTCCAGGTCGCACATGCCTGGGTGCGTACCCTGCCGGCCTCAGTATGTTGCCAGTGACGATCCTCCGCGGCCCAGCTCTGATCTCCCAGCTCTGCCCCTTCCTAGCTCGGTGGCCTTCCTGAGCACGGGTCCCTGCACTTGTGTCGTGGGGATAATGCAGGTAGTGACCTCTGAGGGTTGGTGGGAGGATTCAATGAGCTAAGGCCATCATGTACTTGTCCAGCAGACCCCCTGGCAGGTGATGGGCACCGAATCACTGCCATGCACTGATCACCCCACACCAATCTGAAGTCTTCATTTGGGATAGAATGGGACACATAATTTGTCATTGATTGACGCCGATAAAGTAATAGCTAGCCAAGATTTTTCAACATAGAGTGTGTTTGGAGACAAATGATAAACAGCATCTTTGGTTGTCCAATGAAAACTGCTGCTCTGGAGTCCTTGGGTCTTGCTGCAGAAGTGAGGGTGTGGGGCACAGCGGCTGGTTTGAACTTTGCCCTTGAGTCTGCTAGAGGTCACCGGCTGAGGGAGGAATTCCCTGCACCGGGAGACACACATGGTGGCTGAAGCCGAAGACCCTGCAGGAAAGACGCACCATCATCCTCTGAGGTTCTTGGAAACGGGTTCATTTCTCCTCGGTGTTCATGGAAAACTAGATTTCCTTCTTGGCAAGACCACGGGGGAAGGTTGGGAGGAAAATCAGGCTGTTTTGAGGGAAAACGCAGAGGCTGGTCGGGGTGAGGTCATTGTCTTTGAGACTGGACGGGTGCGTTCAGAGCCCAGCTGTGCCACATCTGTGAGAGCCTGGCTCCCACACAGCAGGCCTGGCGCACTGGAGCCGGGATGGTGACCGCGGTGATGCTCGCTGAGGATGGCCTGTTCGCAGCGCGCCGTGCTCAGCCCTATGTGTGGGCTTTGTTTCCTCGCCAGGGCGACCGCATGAGCTGGGTCCCCTTTACAGGCGAGGACACTGAGGCTCTGTGGGCTTGCCCGGGAGAGGCAGGGTAGCTGAGGGGAGTCCATGGGGCATGGGTTGGTCACAGCTGCACCCCCGCCCGGTGGAAGGGGACAGAGTGATCTTTCATAAACATTACCTCACCTGCTCTGGGGAGATAAGGTGTTTGCTAAACTTTGTTGGAAGAGCAGGCCCTTCCTCGTGACCTCCGCCCGGCCGGCTGCCTGCTCAGACTGGCTGCGGGGGCCTCCAGCTGGGCTTGCCCAAAATACAGCAACCGGCAAATGGCGCTGCGTCTATTTAGTGTAAATAGAGGCCGAGGCTCTCGGGGTAGAGGACAGAGAGGTCACAGCTGGGAGAGGGACGTGGCCTCCTCGTGAGCCAGTGTCTGTGACACCTTTGCAATTTGGGGTTCAGTCCCCTGAGGTGGCATTAGCTCCCTCTGTGGTGCTCTCTGGGGTTGGGGTTGGCATCGGGGTCTCTGCGTAGCCCCACTCCATAGGGAGGCGTTCACAGAGACTACCGCGGGAAGGCGGCCCCTCAACCGTGCTGTGGGGCAGCTTGGCACGGGCACCAGGAAGCTGCTACCATTCCTCACAAGATTCTGAGCAACTGAGTTGGCCACCAGCCCCCCCACCACCCCCACCACTTACCCTCCTCTCCAAAACAGCGGGCTTCCTGGCTGTCAAAAGCTGGTCCTGGGCAGTGAACTTGAACCTTTCCCTATCACAGCAAGACCTCCCTCCAATTCCCACACCACAGCCTCGCCAGGAAGCAGAAACATTGCAAATACAAGGTTAGGGCCCAACAAGAATGTCCTTGTTAATTTTCGGGGTCTCCTAGGCATGGGGAGTGGACCGGGCAACTCATGTTTTCTTTCTTGATTCAGGTTCCTGGTACATAAAGAAAATAATAATATAAGATGAAGAAATAGAAACACAGCTTTGCAAAAAAAAAAGTGATAAATATGATTGAACCATTTACATTTAACAGATGAACACTTTCCATACAGTAACTGGTATAGAACTCATGTAGTGATGACATCCAAAGTCTGAACTGGGGGTCCTTCAGGAATATTAGGCCGAGGCCAAATTTCCCTCCTGCTCTAATCCAAAGTGAAGGATTTAACTCAGTAAGTAGTGAGGTCCCCATCACTGGAGACATGCAAGCAGAATGACCGCCTGGGCTGTTTAGGAAACATGAACTGCAGGACCTTCCTGGCACCAAAGGCATATTTGGTTCTGAGTCTGAGGGCAGAGAGGTCCTTCCCGCTGGCCTGGCTCAGTGATGAGCAGGGAGAGAGTCTGGGAGGCACTCCAGCTGGGCAGTATCTCTGGGACAGGATGGGGTTTGGTAGAATGAATTAAAAACCCAAATCGAGGTTCAAAGAATGCATTTCGCATTGGCCAGTGAGCCAAGCGCTTTGCTTCTGTGAGTCTCAGCTTCCTCATCTGCAGAATGGGAGTGGTCATTTCTGACTCGTGGGGCTTTGATGCCAACTGTGGCCCAACGCTATTCCCGGCACCCAGTGGGCATTCATGAAGGTGGCATAAGAAGTATGAGCCATGCTCTGGACAACTGGGTGTTCAAGGCGGGGGACATAGCTCTTCTTCGGCTCAGGTGCCTAGGCTTCCCCTCACCACTCCTGAGGGTGACTCCCAAGATCTCTGAGCAAGGACAACTGACATGCCAAGTAAAAAAAACCATACTCGGTGATGTTCTCTCCCACTGTCTCTTTCCTTCCAACCCCACAGCTCTGGAATCAGCACCCACAGCTCTATCCTCAGAGCCCAAATGCCTGGCCTCCTCTGGCTGAGTTAGAGCCACAAACTTGGGACAAGCTTGGCTGAGTGACTTCCCTTGGGGCCTGTGTAGAACTTCTGGGCATGTGTTGTCTGTAGATCTAACTAATTCTGACCAGCAGATCAAACGCATAGGCACATAGAGCACCTTTATTATAATACTTACCATTGGTGCAGCTCTTACTAATGGCCACTTACTTACTGTGTGACATTGGGCGAGTTACTGCACCTCTCTGAGCTTTCGACTCCTTGTCCTTAAGTCAGAGGAAATAATAGTACCTATCCACAGGGTGATTGTGACAACGCTTTGGGAGCACGTGTAAGAAGCAGGATACTGCTGGCTCCATAGCGAGTCCTCCATATACAGTTAGTGTTGTCGTGCATCAGGCCCGGTGTTCGAAGTGCTGTGGGTGTATATATCATTGTGAGAATAGCCTTTGAGACGTCTTCTATTATAATTCTCTCATGACAGATGAAGTGCTTTGGGTGAATAGCCTTTCAGACGTCTTCTATTATAATTCTCTCATGACAGATGGAGAAACGGAGAGTGGGGTAAATACTGCCCTAGACACTTGGCCAGTCATTGGCACATCCGGAGTTCAACCTCTGATCAGCTCACTCCAAAACCCACGCTCCCAATCTTCACTGGCTTACCAGCGTGGGAGCGGATAACTCGCCTGCATAAAAAGAGAAGCTACCACCCAAACGGCAACACCAATAACTGCAAAGGTAAGTGCCTCACGTGCCTTCAAGTGGAGGGTCACGCAAGCAGAGGCATTGCCCCTGACTTGCCTTCCAGGAAACCCCTGAGGAGAGCCCTGCATGAGTCGGGAGAGAGATGTCCTTGTTTGGAAACAGCTGCCCTTGACCCTGACTTCCCAGCGGGGGACACAGTTGCTGGAGAGCAGACTTGCCCTTGTCTAACCCAAAAGTTAGGAGCACAGCCTGGGCCTCCTCCCAAGGGGACCCTGTTCTCATCACCACTTGGGCCCCTCTGCCTGGTGCCTCTCAAGCTTTGCCTCTCGGGGTTCCCTGTATCCCAAACCCTCTTTCTGGTGAGTTCCTTGTCCTGATGGTGGGGCCGCTGAGGTTCCTCCCATCACCCCACTCAGAGGCCGTGACTATCTGAAAACTCGGTGATTCCAGAAGTCTCCTCCCTGTTGCCCCTGGCACCGGGCCCATCCGTGCTTGGCTTCCTAATTCTATTTCTGGAGCTTAATTATGATTACACAGCTTCATTACGTAGAGCTGATTTGAAGTAATGGCCCCAATTAAGAGTGAATTTTAATTAAGCTTAACTCAGAACCTTGCCAAAGCTCTGCAGCCCAAGAAGGGGGAAGCCGCTCGGAGCACAAACTCTGACCTTCATGCTCCTGGGCCACCCCGGCCAGATGCGTCCGCTTGGCTTTCTGGCCCCGGGAACATATTTCTTCACCAGGTTGCAGGGATGCGAACCACATCTCACCTTCCCACCCACCCAGTGGCCAACTCAGAGCCGGACAATGAGAACACAGAGCCCAAGTGTCGGCGGAAGGGACCTGCTGTTGGCCAGGCTCAGCCCAGGGATCAGCTCTGTATTGTCTTACCGTTGGCGTGACTATCAGCCGCATCGCCCACCCTGTCGCAGGAAGTGAAACGCACCATTTCCCTCCCACTGCTCATACACCCACTTTGCAGATGGGAAAACTGAAGCTCAGGGAGGCACAGCTAGTGAGGGCAGAGGGCAGACTGGAAATCGAGTCTGTGAGGCCAGGAGAAACCCACCTCCTTTCACCTCCCGCTGGGCCACTGAGATGGGTGCCTCTGAAATGCGAGGGCCCCCGTGACATGCAGGCGAGTTCTGCACCTCTCTGAGCTTTCGACTCCTTGTCCTTAAGTCAGAGGAAATAATAGTACCTGTCCACAGGGTGATCGTGACAACGCCTTGGGAGCACGTGTAAGAAGCAGGACATGCTGGCTACACAGCGAGTCCTCCGTACACAGTTAGTGTTGTCGTGCGTCAGGCCCGGTGTTCAAAGTGCTTTGAACACAGTCATTTACTTAACAGTAAACAAAATCTTCAACCCATCTGTCTTACAATGAAACTTCACATATTTCTCTTCAAAACTGCCAGCAATCAAAGGTCATCGCACAAGCAAAACCACGAAAAAGAAAGCCATGTTATTAAACCCAAACCAGAAGCCGTAAGCGTCTAAAGGCCCGCATTCAGGCCCCGTCTGCCTTTATTTTTAAAAGAACAGATAAGAACCATGTTAAAGATCAAGCATCATACAGAGACTGTGTCCTTCATATAATCAGGATGGAAAGACAGTTGGAAAGATAATCACATATCACTATGTGACTCAACGCTATCCTAGTGCCACCTAAAGTCCACTCTCATTTGTCCAACATTTTCGGAGACCCTGATCCAAGCTGATTTAGCGTGTGGTCTGCCTCTGATCAGTAAATACTGCCCTGAGCCACGCCATGGATGATGAAAATCTAGCCAGAATTCTAGCTTTCCTCATCCCCCAGCCCTGATCCAAGCACGGGGTGTGGACATTCCTTTGGTGTTTCCAGTGAAAACAGAGAAACCCATCTGATCTTCGAAGGTGCCTGAGGTGGCCCGTCCATGGGCCGGGCACAGGCCTGGCAGCCCGTCCTGAATGTCATGGCCACACCGGCCTCTCTCATGCTATTGAAGTTCCCACCTTAGAAAATCCCCCACTGAGAAGCTAAACTCTGTAAACATTTTTATTTTTCTAGAGGGAAATGGAAAGTGAAAAATGGGATTCAATTACCCTGAACATACAAGGGCAATTTCACTCACAAATGCCATACTTACAAGCTCAGGCTGAAAACGGGCGTTCGAATGAGGCCCAGGCCGAGTTAAAAAGGGAATCATTTGTTAATGCCACCCCTTCTGACTGAGTGAATCTTCCTTAGACTCAAAAATAAATGATAAATGGGCTTGAAATACAATTAGATAGCACTTATGACTTTAATAATCCAAACCACAGAACTTTTCCTTTGAAAGTGATGGCCTGAGACTTGACTCGGGGTGGTGGACACACAATAAAGTGTACAGACGACGTGTTGTGGAATTGTGCACTGAAACCTATACAATTCCGTTAACCAGTGTCACCCCAATAAACTCACTAAAAAGGAAAACACAGGTTGAATACTTAGAAGACCCATTCCCTTACCCTAACCAGTCTAGTAACTCAGGTGTCCTCAAATTTTTTAAATTGATTTTTAGAGAGAGAAAAAAGGAAGAGGGTGTGTGTGAGAGAGAAACATTCACCTGTTGTTCCGTTTATTTATGCATTCACTGGTCGCTTCTTGTATGTGCCCTGACGGGGGATCAAACCCGAAACCTTGGCATCAGGAAGATGCTCTAAGGAACTGAACTGAGCTGCCCAACCCTTCCCAATGGAGCGGAAGCAGGGACTCTGTGCTTTTCCAGGGGATTTGGGATGAAATTAACAGAGCCGACCACGCATAGACATACCTGCTCACAAATGCTCCTGGGAAACTTCTACACCTAGGAAACTCCACTAGACAAGGAAGAAAAGAGACAGCCGTGGCTGAAAGAGAAAGACATTATGGAAATTTACGTATGCCAGACAACCCAACAGATACAATGACCCCCATTCAAGCCACTCATTCATTCTTTCTTGAAATTTTTATTCATGGCCTAGGAGTGATCTCATAAACATCGCCAATGGCTTCTCCCAGCAAGCAGAGACAACACATTTTCTCCTCCCACAGATAACTCCCAGTTGCCCAGGGGTTGAATCTCTACTCTGCAAGTTACCAGCTGTGGAGCCTTGGGCCTCCGTTTCCCCATCTGTACAATGGGGATAACAGCAGCACCTACCTCCTGGGACTGTTGTGAGGATTAAATGAGGAGGTGCTTCATGCAAAGCAGAGCCCATAGTCAGTGCTCCATGGGCAGCTGGTAAATACTAACCCTGGCTGAGGCCGTGTCCTCATTTAGCTCAGAAACGTACTGACCTGCCTGCTGGGAGAAGACGCTCTTACGCTCAGAAATATCCAGGAGACCCCCAGGAGGGTGGAGAGGGGCGTGCTCCTCTACACGTCTCTAGATGCTTCTCTCTCTCGGTCTAGGTTCAGCTTTCTGCCCAGCACATGGCCCAGAGCTCCGGGCAGAGCTCAAGCAGCTGCAACCCTTCCCTCAGGGTCCTGGCGGGATGGGCCACGCGTAACACATGGAAGCGGCGTGTGCTTAGACCGGCTCCTCCTTGGAAATCCATTTGTGGATCCACAGAAAATCCTTCCAGGCTTCACGTGCACATGCCGAACGGGCACAAACGGGCACACACGGGTGCAGCTTCCTACCTGTGCATCTTGGCAAAAGCCAAGCCCTGTCAGCGACACCTTGCACGGAGAGCTGCCCAGTCCTATGATAAGACGCACTGCTTCTCCCCAGTGAAGTGTCATTCGCTTCAGCCTGGGGATTTATACCAAGCAATGAAACCCGCAAAAGAGAGAAATGCAAATAGATCGCAGAATATAATATTGTCATTGTCAACATGAAAGACTTGTATTGACTGCCCCCCAAAAGAAAATACAGCACCGTCATTTGTTTCGGGGAATGCAAACGAGGTTTCAACAACTAACAGGGCATGTTTCTGAGCAAAATACGTCCCTTACATGATGTCGGAACACATATTGTCGGAGGCCACTGGTGGGTCTGTGTTCTCGCAAACAAGCGCGTGGAGGCGAGTGAGGAAGGTCACTTCCAGCCTCCGCCCTCAGCCACAGGCCACCTTCCTCTGTCCACTGACAGACCAGCCGGCAGGGGTGCATTTGGAGGGCCAGGTCCCCTGAGGCCCTCACCTGACCAGCGCACCTCAGGACCAGGAGTCTCAGGTGTGGCCGATGCTCTCCCTAAAGGCAGATGCGGGCGAGGTTGAGAAAGTGGATGAAGCACGTTGCTCTGGGCAAAGGGAGGCTGCAAAGAGGAAAGACAGCAGAGGAAATTTGGGGAGCAGTGACATCCACCTTTTCTCTGTCACTGCAGCATCAGCCCCCACCCCCCCAGCCTCAAGACAAAGGACCCACTGCACTCTCGACAGAGCACATGCCTTGTATCTTTGTTGTTTTCCTCTTAAACTCTAAAGGATCCCGTGAGATTTGCAACCAGGGGAGCAGTGGGCACCCCCATGTGGTAAAGTTATCTATCAGCTCTTTTGTTTAACAGGGGCCTGGCAATGAATGATGCCAATCACTTTCATGGAATTGGTTGAGTAACAAATCTGTGACTTTATTTAGGGATTCGGTCACCGTGATGGTTTCAATTCTGTCTGAGAAGGTTCTAAATGTGTGAGGCTTTAAACCAGGGGTGGGGAACCTCCGGCCCGCAGACCCTATAAGGCCCGCGAAATCATTTGTTCTGGCCCTGCCAAGGCATTAGGGGTGAGTTACTTAAATGAACAAATAGAACAGGCTGATTTTTAAGTTGATAATTTTGTAGGGTCCACGAATGATGTCATAAATATCCCAATGGCCCCTTTGGCAGAAAAAGGGTTCCCCACCCCTGCTTTAAACAGTAACAGTTACCTGAATGATATTTTGTGTAAAAGATATATATTCTAGCTGATGGTCCCAGCAGCCCAGGGAAATATGCAGGTATGAATATAGCCATTTCACAGATGAGAAAACAGGGGCTTGACAGAGTGAAGTGCTTTGTCCACAGTCACTGGCTTGTAAGAAGGAGAGTCGAGATACAAATGCAGGTCTGTCTGACCCCAGAGGCCTTGAACCTGAACTCTCCCCTAACCTGCCGAGCCCATCAGGAAAGCCCTCCGTGCCTGTGCTTGGGGCCCTGGAGAGGGTAGGTCACTCCGTCCTCACCCACGAGGAAGGCACTGAGGTCCTGACTCACAGATGAAGAGCCTGATGAATGAGAGAGGAGACAGCATTGACCCAAGTCACACCGATGACTTGTTGCTCAACTGGCATTCGGCCCCCAAGTCCTGATCCCACGCCCTGTGGGGTATGAGAGGAGAGGTGGAAGATGGGGCGGTGATGCCCTTCCCAGACTAGCCCATGTCAGTCCTACACCTGGAGTGAGTTTCTTGAGTTTTAACAACCAAATCAATAACTTCGTTTCGCATCCACAAATTCTTTTTTTTTTTTTTCACTTGCAGCTCATTTGGGCAAAGAATGTCGTCAGTCTTTGAGAAGACGGCTGAGAAAGGAGCAGTCCCAGGGCTTTCTCATCCAGGTGGGCTGGAGGGGTCATGACAATCAACTTTGATTAAAGAAGGAAAAGAAGACATTTTATTCCTGCTCCCAGGGGTCAAATGTCATGACCCTCCTAACTCAGTCCCAACCCGCCCATCCATCACAGATCCCCTCTTGACCTTCTATGTCTGCCTGCAGATCAGGACCAGGCTACCGTGCCATGGGCTGGGGATGGACAGAGAGGAACACTGCCCAGTCCCCTGGGTCCCCGATAACTGGGGCTAACATCCCAGTGGGGACACAGATGAGAATCCGGTGAACAGGTAAAGCAGACCAGCTCTCAGACAGTGCTCAGTGTTAAGCAAACAGTAAAACAGGGCCATGACCGTGGGGGTGGGAGAGGGTAACATTAGAAGCAGAGGCCAGGGAAGGCTTCTCGGAGGAGGTGGTGCTGAGCCGATACCTATACCTGGCTGCTGGGAAGAGGCCCCAGGAAGACCAGGAGGGCTCTGCCTGGGGCAGTCATCACGTCAGTTTCCCTGAAGAGATCAGACTCTAATTTCAATCACAAATGAATCACCAGCAGCCTGTGAGACCACCATCCCAGGTCCCAACCCCCCACCACAGCCACCACACCCACCACACCCACCAGGGCAGTTTGTTTGACCAACAGAGAGAAGATTTTTTCCAAAATACTCTGGGCAGGAAACCTCTGGGGGAGGGGCAGGTCTCCAGTTGCTCCTTCAGACAGCGGTAATGTCCGGGATTCAAAGCTCCCACAGGGTAGCGCCTGCTGCTGCGAGGGCTTTGTCCCCGGAGTGAATTTCCACAAAGTCTGCGCCTGCCTTTGGAAAATTCTGCACAAAACGGGAGCTGATAGGAAAAGTGGAGGCAGGAGGCTCTATTGCTGATAGAGGCTCGTGGGCATCCACACGGGGAAAGGGAACTGGCGTTAACGAAGCCCCTCTACGCACCAGCCTTTAACTGGGTGCTTCGCCTGCGCTCTCTCCTTCAATCCCAGGAGGAAGGTCTTAAAAGCCCCATCTTTACAGCCCAGGACACTGGGTCTCTGAGAGGCAAAGCAACTTCCTTAAGGTCACACAGCAAGGAAGTGGCAGAGCCAGAACTAATTACATTATATTAATCACTGACGCATCGGTAATTACATCAACCACATGTATTGATCATTACTGGTCTCCCTGTTCAATGCCCCAGGGTCACACACGACTTCATTGAATTGTCACCATATGTTATTACTGTTCCCATCTAGCAGATGAGAACTCTGGGACTCAGGGAAGTGAAGTAGCTTGTCCCGGGGGCACTCAGCTCCTGAGTGGTAAGGCCAGGATTCAAACCCACATCTATCCGATGCCCTCTTCTTTATTTGTTTGTTTTACCAGAAAGAGAGGCTGATGCCAACAGAGGAAAAGACGGAGGTGCTCCATCTTAAAAGAGACCGAGGAGGTAGGACAAGGAAGTGCCAGGCCTGATGCTGGAACTGCGCTGAAGGGGAAAGTGCTGGGCGGGCCTTGCGCGGCCACCTGACAGCGCTGGAATGTGGGTGGCAGATCAGATAAAAGTGTTGTGTCATCTTGAATTTATGGTTATGATTATGTAAGAGAATATCTTCATCTTTGGAAAACACATAGTCAAATGCTCAGAGGAAAAAGGTCATGATACATGGAACATCTCCCTGTGGTTCAGGAAAAAAAAATGTGTGTGTGTGTGTGGAGAGAGAGAAAGAGGGAGAGGGAGAGAGAGAGAGAGAGAGAGAGAGAGAGAGAGAGAGAGAGAGAGATGAATTTTTGTCGTCTCATCGATTGGTTGTCTCTCACATGCTTCCTGACAGAGGATGGGGGATTGAGCTTGCAATGGAGGTACATGCCCTTGACCAGGAATCAAACTAGTGACTCTTCAGTCTGAGGGCCAATGCTCTAACCACTGAGAAAGCCGGCGAGGGCCAGGCCTGGTTTTGAATCTGAGATGTGCAACTCTCTGCGACTTTAAGCCAGCTGCCTAACTTCTCTACACTTCATTTTCCCATCTATAACATGCAGATAAACGTGGCCTCTGACTAACACTTTTATGCCATTAGCTCTTAGCACTGTCCCAGACCCTGGCAAACACTGGACAAATGATGGCCATTATGATTGTGATCTGTTACGTAATTATAATTTTTATCATGATCATTATTGTTAAAGCCATAGTTAAAAGGAAAGGAATCCGATGTAAACATTCAGCCGGCTGCTGCCATGGAAACCCAACTAAACACCTGGAAGTGTAACTGACCCTTCATCCAGATGTTGGATGTACCACAGCATCTGGGGATCTTGCCTCAAGTAGAATCTAGCGCTGCAAACTAGGTTTGTGTTTCCTTGGCCAAACTCAAACTTGATGAGGGAAAAGTAAAGCATATCATTTCAAATTCCTGGCCCCTGGTGTCCAGAACCAAGACCTCTGTGTTCTGCTAAACCTGGCCTGGAAACTTGAGTCAGGCAAGACAGTTGTTCGGGCTTAAAAGTACTTTTTCCAGGTAAGTTTCCCACCAGAAAATGGGCTACCACCTACAGTCTTCAGTTCTGTGGGCGTGAATGTTGTCGTGGGGAGGCACACAGCCTTCAGATCCAGCCTGATAGCCCCATCACCTTGGGGAAATTCTCTGTGCCTCAGTTTTGTCCTCTGTAAAATGGGGCTAATAAAAGTATCTACCTCAGAGATTTACACAAGGATTAAATGAGCAGGTATTTGTAAAATGCCCTGGACAGTGCCTCATATTGTTTATTAAATAAAGTTAAATAGCAGTATTTGTGGTCAACACAAACAAAAGAGAAAATTATAGATTGAACATCAGAGCCTTGGGGCCCATAAACGTTTATTTCTGCATTTTTGTTTCTAAGATAATCTGTTCAGGAGGGCAGGAGGGCAGGAGGGAGGCAGAAAGAAAATCCTTTTTGTGCCATCTCTGTAGTTGGCAATTCCCATGGGGGAGAAAGCAGAGAGAATTCGATGAACAGTTTGCGACTCTCTCTGGCAAATCCCTAAAATTGATTCCACGAAGGTCCTTGACTTTCAAGTCCTGTATGAAGAGGACAAAAATAAACCCAGGCTTTTCTCTAAGCTAGGAGGTGAACTCTTATTTCCAATAGCAATGATGCTTTTAACGATAGACCAGTTATATCCAACTCAAAGGTAACTTACTTTATGAAGAGTTGTTCAAATATAGAATAAGGTAGAACTAATCATAATAAACAGCATCAAATACGATTAGCAATTAAAAGGCAATTTAAAATTTTCAAAACATATTTGCATAACTCATCTGCTGTCCACATGTGCCCCATTCTGTGGGTGCCACAGAATAACGAGTGCAGGGACCAGAACTAATTGGCTGCCATTATTTCGTATGAACTTCAATTCATCAGCAAGTGATTTCATGTTTCTAGGCCTCAGTTTTCCTGTCTTTAAATGGGGATAATATCCCTTACCTTCCTATTATTGCCTCGTACAATAGAATTTTTTAACTTTTTATTGATTAAGGTATACAAATGTGTCTTTATCCCCCCATTGTCCCCTCACCCCCCCAGTCTTGCCCTCACCCTCACCCCCTGTTGTCCCACTTCTAGGAATATATCCCAAGAAACCAGAAGCACGCATCAGAAAGGACATATGCACCCCTATGTTCACAGCAGCACAATTTACAATAGCTTAAGATCTGGAAACAGCCTAAGTGCCCATCAGCAGATGAGTGGATTAGAAAACATTGGCACATCTACACAATGGAATACTATGCCGCAGTAAAAAGGAAGGAACTCCTACCATTTGTAACAGCATGGATGGAGCTGGAGAGCATTATGTATACAATAGATTTTGAAGATATATTATGAGAATAAAATGTGAAAGTCAAGTTAAATAACAGTGCTTTGAAAATCTCACATACAAGGTATCATTTTAAATGGGATTCACATGTTAAGGGATGATTGTTAAATTTCCAGATATGAAAATGATAAGAGGATTATGTTTTTAAAAGGGTTGGTCTTTGTGGGGAAAATGGCTGATTCCAGATCTAGGGCGGGAACTGTACAAGATGAACCTGGGACACCTTGTCAGTAAGGAATCCATCCAAGAAAACCCAGGTTGTGACCAAAGGTCTCACTAGACAGCTTGCAGAGGTCCCCACTGGCCAAAATGGGACAACAGGAGCATCGATACACAACGGCAAAGAGTGAAAACATCAACTATGCTCACGCCCATGCGTTTATAAATGATACTGCAAAAGTGATCACTTTTGGAAGGTCCTAGAGAGACAACTCATTTATGTTCAAAACTGTAATAAAGGGGAGAAAATCAAGCGTGTCCTGCTTTTCCTATATGAACTCCTACATAATCAACTAGTTCACTAAGAGAAGTTCATTTGTCCAGGAGGATTCCAGCGAGTAAATGCAGAAGGAATGGTGAATACCGCCATCTGGTACTTTCCTAATGAATGAGCAGAGCTAGTCGATGATCCCTGCTGGTCAGTCACATCACCAAAGACAGATAATCACATGTCATGTGCCTGTGCGGTAATCTTGCCCCTTCCAAGAACAACAACAAGCCAAAACAACAAAACACAAAACCTTATGGAGCTTCTAGACCTAATGACCAGATCACAGAAAATGCAAGGGGCAAATGAAGACAAGAGGAGGCAGGCTACAGAACAGTCCCGGGAGGTCATGTGTCTCATCCTCCAACGCCAGCAGCGTCAGACCTGGGTGAGAGGAAGATGGCAGGTGAGCATGTTAAAGCGATTCTTCCAGAAGAGGGAGGATGGCAACGTTTGAGTGAGCCGTGATGGATGAGTATAATTTTGTCAGGCAGGTTGGAGCCGGAAGAGTAGTCTAAACAGAGCCTTGGGGAGGTGAAAAGATTGAACTATTTGAAAGGAGTGAGCATCTGGAGTTGTCTCATCTCTGAGGCAAACATCTCTCGCACATTCAACCCTCCTCACTTCTGCAGGGACCCAGGGCCAGGGCCGGGGGAAGAGGACAGACGCGCAGGCAGGCGGCAACATTGAAGAAACCCTGGGTCTCTGCCCCGCACTTGCAGGGGCCTGGGGGTGAGGGCTGCTTTCCATTTTGCACCCTGAGCACCTTTCTTGCCTGACCCTGGCCCCTGCCCAGTCAGGTATCTTCCTCTCTCACATCCCTGGACTCCAGAGGTGAAACCAGAAGGGACTATAGAAAGGGCTGCCATCTTCCACGCTCTGGATGCTGTACTCTTGCTAATTCTGTCGGATCTCCTACTTCTAGTCTCCTAACACCTCCCCTCTCCATCCTGGGACTGACTCCACCCCGATGCCCCCACCGCATTCGCATAAGGGCTCTGTCAAGCTAGCACTGACCCATCCTGTCCTTGTCCAGTTGATGTCTTAGACTAGGAGCAAGCTTTACACTCAATCTGAACGAACTTTATCTTGTTTCTTTTAGCAACTCCTGCCACTGACTATCATTATGTTTTAAATCCTTACTTATTACTTAGAATATTAGCTATTTTCTCAAGCCTTGTATTCATTCATTCATTCATCAAATATTCCCAGAGCACCTGTTCTGAGTCAAGCCCTGTGCTGAAGACACAGAAATGAATGACCTATCTCTGCCCTTGAGCATCAATGTCAGAGTCCCAAGGAGGAAACAGGCAGGTAAACAGCCAACGACAACCCAATGGGCTGAGTGTGATGGTAGAGAATGCCAGCACTGAGCACACAGTGGGGCATCTACACCAGGCCACAGGGCCAGGGAAGGTTTCTGGAGGAGGTGACACAGGCATTCAGACCAGAGAAGATGACCAGATATAGTGCATCACTGGGCCCGGTGCATGACGAGACTTCTATGTCTGCCTCCAGGTTGTTAATCAACACGGGGGCAGGGCCAAAGCTAAGTCTGTCACAACCGGGAACCATTTCCATCTGAGGGCGACAATCACCTTGATACCCAGGTGCGCTAAAAGGCTGCTGCTGGCTCGTGGGGGCCTTTTGCGGTGAGAATGAGAGGAAGGCAGCGCCAGCAGCCTCAGCGCCTCCCCCTCTGCATCTGCCCCCAGTATGGTTTGGTGGGGGAAGCATGACCCGGAAGGGACCAGGAGATGTTAGGGTCAATGAGGCTTCTCTTCCTCCTTCAAGCAGGCACATGGACGGCCT